TCAAATTTGTTCAAGTCATGACCCTCGGGGGTAGGGCGGGGCCAAAATGGCCGATCAAAGTTTTACATAGGAATATATAGGAAATATCTTTAAAAATCTTCTTCTCAAGAACAACTGGGCCAGGAAAGATGAAACTCATGTGGAATCATCCTCAGGTAGTGTAGATTCAAGTTTGTTCAAGTCATGACCCCGGGGTACGGGTGTCGCCAAAATGGCCGATCAAAGTTTTACATTGGAATATATATAGGGAAACCTTTTTAAATCTTCTATTCAAGTAATTCAAAGCCAGGATTAGTAATGTATTTATATGGAATCCTCCTCAGGTAATGTACATTCTAGTCCGTTCAAATTATGATCCCCTTGGGGGTTAAAAATTCAAGCCCCCCTAACTTAAGTTAACTTTCAGTTCTGAACTGATATGTGTTTTTTCCTAGCTGATGTGCTCAGGTGAGCACTGTGGCCCCTGGGCCTCTTGTTTTTTGCCAGATTATTGATGCATGATACTTAAAATACAAATGCATTTTCAACCTTAAGTGGTCACTAAAATTTTATTTCAATATTCTTTGAACAAGTTATCAAGGTAGTCCGATCCTCAGGTTTATAAATTAGCAGTTAAGTAATAAAAAAAAAAGTCATAAAAGTATCCCTGAATCCACAAAATTATTTCCTCTGTATTTCTTTAAAGTTAAAGATTAAAGTTAATCATATTATATATAGAGAAAATTGTCAAATCTCCATTTTGTTTTGCAGAAAAAGCGAATTGGAATATTAGTAAGGCATTTTTATGCGCCCGGATTGATAGATCCGGGGTGTATATTGTTGTAGTCCTGTCTGTCTGTTTGTCCGTTTGTTTTGTCTGCAAACCTTAACTTTTGCCATAACGTTTGAACCATTAATGATAGAGACTTCATATTTGGAATGCATACACCACTAATTAAGATCTTTTGAATGACATCAAGTTCAATGGTCTTGTGATCTTGACTGTGACCTATATGCTAAAAATAGCTGTTTATCTGCAAACTTTAACCTTCGCCATATCTTTTGAACAATGAAAGATAGAGACTTCATATTTGATATGCTTACTCCATCAATTAAGCTCTTTCAAATGACACCAAGGTCAATGACCTTGTGACCTTGACTGTGACCTATATGCTAAAAATAGCTTTTTTCGAATTTTGTTGCCGCCGGGCGCATAGTGTTTCACAAACACATCTTGTTTTAAATTATGTGATGTACATAGGTAATGATGTGATGTTCTTTTATCTTTAGGTGAATTGATTGTATCATTTTGTGATGTGTTTTTAGGTCACCTGAGTAAACTAAGGTGACCTTTTGCTATCCGTTTTCGTTCGTCGTGCGTTAACATTTGAACATTTTCAGCTTCTTCTTTGAAACCACTGAGCAAATTTCCACCAATTTTTGGCATATAGCATTTATGATCAAAGGGGAACAAAACTTGTGAATTTCATGGCCTGGGGCCTGGAGTGTAGGCCAACACTATTAAGATTAAAGCGATCTTTAAAAATCTTTTTCTTCTTTACTTTGGACATCAAGCAGTCTAACTGTTGGTATGATTGTAATCAGCAATGAGTCCTCGTCAAAAATTGTGAAATTCATGGCCCCATGGCCAGAGGTTTTAGTGCTAGGGCGGGGCTAAGTAAATTATAATGGTTAAAATGTCTTTGAAAGTCTTCTTTTCTATTCCTGGGCATTAAATAAACTAACCAAGTGCATAGTTAATTTGAAAATGACTACCTCTTCCAAAATTCTGAATTTCGTGGCCCCAGGTTCAGGGATTCTAGTGCTAGGGCAGGGCTATATCATAAATAGATTCTGTAGTGAAAATGCAAAAATTCTTTGAAATTCTTCCTCTCTGTTCATGGACATTAAATGCACTAACAAAGTGCATAGTTATGTTGAATATGGCTGCCTATTCCGAAATTGTGTATTTCTTGGCCCCTGGATTAGGGCGGGGCTCTATTGATTATATCTAGTGATAATGCATTAATTCTTTGAATTCTTCTTCTCTGTTCACGGGCATTAAATAAACTAACCAAATGCATAGTTATGTTGAATAAGTTTGCCTCTTCCAAAATTTTGAATTTCATGGCCCCTGAGTTAGAGTGGGTCTCTATTAATTATAATTGTATATTGTGAAAATACACAAATGCTTTTAAATTATTCTTCTCTGTTCATTCTTTTTTGTACCAGGGTATTAAACCAATAAACAATGTATGAGGAGGAAGGATGCCTCTTTGAGATTTGTGAATTTCAGGGCCCCTGGGTCAGGGTTTCTTGTGTTAGGGCAGGGCTTAAATGTTAACACATGTATATTGAAATGCATGGTCTGAAAATGCTTTGAAATCTGCACTTTAGTATTAATCAACAAAGTGATGAAATAAAATTTATTAAATTTCCAAAATTTTGAAATTTTGAATTTTGCCCCAGGGTCAGTAGTTCTCTAGTAAACTTTAAAGTAGAAATGTATTTCCTTTTTGTTACCGTGATCTACCTCTGGGTATTAAGTACCAAAGTAAACATGCGTAGTGTATAATTATGATAAGCAATGATGCTTCTTTCAAAATTGTGAATGTTATGGCCTCTGGTTTAAAACACGAATAGGATTCATTTTTTGGAAAGTTGTTACATGATACTCAGGTAACCTATAAGGCACTTGGGCCTCTTGTTATCATTATGTGATGTGTTTTTGTCATTACGTGGTGTAATTGTATCGTTATGTGATGTTCTTTTGTCATTTGTTGTGTGATTACTTAAGTAATTATGTGGTGTGCATTTGTCATTATGAGAAGTGCATATTTCATTAGATCGTGTACTTTCAAAAGCCATACATGTAACGCCGTGTTCCAAAGTCTTTCAGTGTGGAGCAATCATTTGTAAGAGATTTGCAAATTTTATCGTGATGAAAACGTTTTCCTGTCTACATTTACAAAAATAGAGGACTTTAAAAATTTCATAGATACATACATACACACACTGTATATCATTTGAAAAAATGTCTCTTCTTCAAAAATTTAATATGAAAGATTCGACATCTCTTTTTTCCAAACACTACTATTACGTTTTTTCCACGCCAGTCATGTTACATTTTGTCCTAATTATTGAATATTGTGTAAAATATATTGTATCATCTCATTCCATTATCCGATGAACACTGTTTGTTCGTTATCCTTTCATCTCATGATAAGAGATGTTTAAGATAAATGTCTTTTTCCAGGAGCCAGTTGAAAAGTCATCTGACAAACACCACGAGGGCTCGTCTTCCGACATGAAAAATAAAGATAAATCATCTAGCAACCCACCACCTGATGTTGAGAGGTACGAATTAGGAGGGGGTGGATTTTTATTTTTTGGGTGGAAAGCGAGATAACTCTGTTTATATTTTTCGACTTCTTGACCGGAAGCGGTGAATCCCCAAGTTTAATAAATCCGCCATTGCCTCAAATTAGTCAGTTGATAAATGAAACCAAGCTCATGTATTAAGGGAAAATACCATTTTGTGTTCTTATGTTATTTATATAAAAGTTGGCATGGTTTGGAGTATTTTAAGGCTTAATTTATGGCCTGAGTATATCTTGCTTATCATTGTTATAATTATAAGTTGACATGAATATATATTAGACAAAGTTTAATAAATCCGCCATTGCCTCATTTTATATGCTTCATCTGTCTCTTCCTTCTTTTGTGGCCAGCCAGACACGGGTAACATAGCCACGGGTAACATAGCCACGGGTAACAAAGACGTGGTAAGTTTAGATTCTAGATAACAAAAGAAATAGCTTATAAATTGGAAAATTATTTCAACATAACCATATCACTTATGGAAAAAAGCGATATCTATATACAATTCTTAAAAGAAAATTCTGTCGTTTATACTGTAAATATTAATATGTTTCACCATTGACAAGATCAAATACATTAAGAGGGGTTTTTTTTCTTATTTTTTAGGTTTTAACTAGAAGTCCTTTTTCAGAAAGCCAGAAATTCGTTCGACAACTATTAGACGCCTCGCTATTGGCTGCCAATGTATCACAGTTAAGAGTTGTAATAGGAGGAGCAGGAGAAAACTCGGATTACTTTTGGCCCTTGATTGGTATGATTTCTTCAGCAATCTTCTTCCATCTTGCGTTTGGAATTCTAATGATCCAAAGGTGGAGGAAAGAAAGAGTAGCGGAGAGATTTCATTCACAAAATGCACAAAATGCATTAATACAAAATGCACAAAATGCACAAATACAAAATGCACAAAATGCACAAATACAAAATGCACAAAAACAAAATGCACAAATACAAAATGCACAAAATGCACAAGAAAAAAATGTTTCTGTGAAAAGTGCTTGAAAGTAGAAAGATGCGACGAAATTAGCATGTTTTTCATCGTAATCTTAAATGTTGGTATTGCAGGGCTAGGGTTACATCCTTAAAGATAAATTTTTGGTTTTATCAAATGTTTGTATCTTTATGAAAGCTTTTTCCAATAAAAAATAGAAAAGTATTATGACTCTGTAATTCTGAATAGTTTATCTTGTATCTTGTGTAGTGGTTTTGAGAAAAAAATTAAACAATTTGCGCCTTGAGGGATTTAAAATGTACACCTACGTACTTGTATATGACTTTTGAATATATATATCCATATTATGTCAAAGATAGAAATGTGAAAATAAAAAGTTTCTATCATATGGTTTATTTAAAATTGTAATCAAATAAAACATCTGTAAAAAAGAATCTTAACATCCGTATAAATCAAATCACACCACGATTTTTATTAAATAATATGTTAATGATTTCTGTTAGTAGCATACTTGAATACGTAGTATATTTTTTTTTTTACATTTATTGTCGAAAAGAATCTATATAGATAATTCATATGATCTAAGGTGAATTAATATGGAACCAATACCAATACATTGCAATAAAATGAATCAAATATTCATTTTTAAGTTATCCTCCCGGATGTTTTACATAACCAATATAGTTAAAGTAAAATAACAGCATCTAGATATGGACAAGAGAATCAAAAACATTAATAATTATAACTTTTACAAACATGTTTTAAAAAACCATCACAACCAAACAGGAAAAACGTATATACACGTATGTACTTAATATAATGTGTAATCAAAGAGTCAAGGAATTCAGACATCGAAAAAGAAGGCCTCTCTGCTTTCATTGACACGGATTCCGACAGATCCATCAAGGAAAAAATGAATTTTTGGATCGTGAAGACAGATGAATTTGCCAGGACGAACATCTCCCCAGGTAAAATACGGATAGGGATTATCGTAATCAAGGTAAAATCCGATATATATCTCAGCATTACTGCCATCCTACAATATCAAAATATAAATGATTAATTTAAGTTTGACATTAAATTTATTTGCCATCCTGATTTGGTTTTAAATTTATATATTTTAAATGATTTATTTTCTTCTTCATTTTTCTTCTGCATGTTTTTAATACAGTTACCTTACTTACCTGTACATACACACAGTGGCGCCCTCTATAGTGGTGGTATCTGGAAATAAATCCCACGAAGGACACCCTTGTATTACCAAAACTCAAAGGAAATTCATGAGGTATTTCTTCAATATCGTCAATAATGTATTGCATGGGAAACTTTCGTTCAACGTATAGCTTTGCCTGTCTTCTAAGGTATTTTGTTGTTGACTTTCGCAAAGAAAGATCTGCGGAATCCGTTCGGAACATTGTTGAGGGTCCAAACATCACTTGGTGTCCATTATCAAAAGCAGTAAAACTATTACGGCCCTGGGTCGCTTGCGAAAGAATTCTGTCTGATTTTGATTTCTTCAACTGTTCCTTGTACCCATCGGTCTGTATAACGTCAACAATGTCCTTACTTTTGCAAACGGTTTTATGGTCGGGCCAGTCTTGCGTTTGACATGATTTCGAGCAATAGCTGACAGTCAGACAACGTCCGCATTTCTTGAGTTGTCCTGAACTAGTTCCACAAAACATACACAATGCGCTCGAAGCAAGATCAGTCGAATCGGTCAATGACTGTTTAAGAAGTCCACCAGAAGAGGAATTACCCTTTCCATCGTTTATCTCCGTATCTCTGGCATTCTTCAGGTCATCACACATTGTTTTGTGGTTCGTTTTCCAGTCCCATTTCTGGCACTCTTTACTGCAGTAGTACGTCAAGTGGCATCGTCCACACTTCTGCATTCCCTCTCTTTGAATTCTACAGTTGTTGCATGTGTTTTCCATTTTGATCTGACAAAAAACGCTCATGAACGTGTTACATGCTTTATATTTTAAGATAAAATATTCAATTTATCAAGCATGTTTAATTCATTCTATCTTTTACTCTTTTAATCAAAATAAAATACAGGTACTCTTTGAGCATGTTATACTAGAACTAATTATCCTATCGAGATTGAACTGCATTTGGACGTTCTAGGCAAAACCCTTGCATTAAATATATAACAAGAGGCTCGTGGGCCACATTGCTCACCTGAGTACTGTAGACTAAAACAGAACTAAGTTCACTATTGAAAAGTTATTTCCAAAAGAGGTCCCAACCTACCTTTAAAAGGAAGTCAGGGGGCTATAATTTGAACAAATCCAGGCCTCCCCCGGCCCCCGTTATGATTCAAAATCTACACTACCTGAGGATGTTTCCATACAAATACAGTTAGATCAACCATAGCTCTGCTGCTCCTGAGAAGTTTTTTTTTCAAATAATGTATATCTTTCAAAGTAAAATTTTTTGGCCCCACCATATACCCCCAAGGGTCATGATTTGAATAAACTTGAATCTTCAATACCTGGGGATGCTTGCATATTATATTTAAAAAAGTTAATTATTACCTAGCTGTTCTTGAGATGAAGTGTTTTCTAGATATTCATATATAAAAACATTATTGTCCTTTGTGCCCCAACCCGTGGGGATGATTTGAACAAATTTGAATCTACACTTATACTATTTTGTTTTTCTCCTTTTTGATATCGAGAATTAAAATTGAATTTAATAATATTATTATATTATATCGATTCATGAATAAATTTATCAATTGTAAACATTGAAATCAAATGCCAAAGTGATAGTATTATTGAATTTAAAACTTTACATGGCGTATCTTAGCCAAAACTAAGAATACGAAATTGAGTTTTAATGACCGTGATATTTGTTATTTTCAATTTATTATCGAGTAAAATGCTGACTGATGTTTTTCCTACTAATCTTCGTCCGTTATTTACACACTAAACTGACGATGGATTTTCCCATTATTTCCCGACCATGACAAGGAGCACACGGCGGGTGTGACCGGTTGGCAGGCACCTGATCCCACCTCTGATGTTTTGTATGTCCGTGTTTGCTCTGTTCCTATTTTGTATTAATATTATTTTATAGACTTATGAGCTTGAATACTGTTCGTTTACTCCATATAGTTCATTATTTACACTCAAATTCGAATGAATCAGCCATAGTTTTAAATTTCCTATATCTTAAAACGATTGATTTAAATTGTGTAATTAACAGGAAAAGCACTATCTTTATATGAATTAATAAAATAAAAAGTAAGATTTTAAATTTTTTTTAGCTAGTCTGAACTTATGCAAAATACTAATACGCCATATATGACTTTAAGAATGTAGAATAGAGATGATTTAAACTTGTTAAATTGGAGTACATATGAAAATAATTGATCTAAGCGATAAGTTTCCAATTTTAAGTATATATTGTTATATTTGCTATATAATTCCTACCTCTTCCTTCTCTTGTCCACAGTACAGTTATCGTTGCAATAATTTCGCAATTTCTTTAAGAAACTAAACAGAAAGTGAAAGTACATTTTTACTGCATACAGAGAATGCAGACGTACAGTTCTTGAAAATGGAACTGTTTACAAAAATTCTTAATAAAAGGAAAGTACAGGTGATCCTATATATATTGATTATTTATAGCATTATTTTCCTGATTGTAAATGTACGAATAATCTATTATTTATTTCATGTACTGAACATTAAGTGTTACTTCTTTCATTTTCATGATCAATTCCTTTAGTTATATAAAGAAATGATGTAATGAGTTATTTTTTGTTTCTTACAAGTTAATCACACATAGACAGAAAAGGCAATCTAGTTATATTTAAAAACTCGGGATGAAAATATAATATTTACTAAAGCACCAATCGATATCTGATACTAGTTAGATTTATAGATAATGCGAGTGTTTATCAATATATAAAGTTCGTGGACTAGTGTCATAAAATTTAAACCTATTTGAGGTACATCAAACATTAAGTTCACGTCACCTCATAAAATTTTACTTATATTTAATAATATTTTTCAAATGTTTTAAATGTAAACAATATTGTCCTAGTACCGAAACATCAAACATGACGTTTTTTTTTTCTACAGGCGTATATCTGAGAAAAAAAAAACTCTTAAGATACGAGCATTAAAATATATAATTTCAAGCATATGGTATAATATTATTGTTACCTTATTCTCTAAATTCTATGAAATTTCATCTTAATTTTATTTTGAGTGTCCAAACAATTAAAGTGGCGTCAAAAAGAGAGTTTTTTTTATCCAATGCCATACTAGAAGAACCTTATTTATATAGATCCAATTTTATATATTGTGTGCACTCAAAGAAGCTGTAAAATGCAAATTCATATCAACAAGACAGGTTACCGTATCAAAAATAATTTAACTCTATTGAATCTCATCAAGATAAGTAAATGAGGTTACATAGAGGGAACGGACATTTTTAAAAAAAAAAAACATTTGTCGAACGTCATGAAACTAAACAGCAACAGCTCCAGATATAACGTTTTTATTTTATTAATAAATGCTTAAGTTTTTAAATTTTTTTTTAAATCTTTATATTGAGTAATATTTAAGTTTGATAAATCTTAATTCATATTTATAGAATTGTAAAATATATGGTTATGTTTAAATCAAATTTGAAATAATTTTATTTACATAGAAAAAAATCAACACCACCAAAAGTTAATGATTATTTATTTGTATGTGGTGAATGTTGTCGTGTCATTATTCGTGGGTCGCCGCAAAAATCAACACAACATTGGCAGACCCACTTCAGCATCAACAACAAATCAATCAATCATCAATCAAATTCAGCAAGTATAAAACAAATTGACCATGATTTCTGGATGTAAAAGCAAAGTATACTACAAACCATGCATAATAAAAAGAACAAAAAAAGAATGAATTAATGTAAATGAAGCATAAGAATGGTTAGATTCATATGTAATTATATGTACCTAATGTGGATACAACTAGGCTAGCACAATTTTTGTGGTTGAAATAGTAAAAAACTAAATATGTTGTCATCAAATTACATTTTATACTTGAATGTACTTTTTTTTCTTTTTGAAAAATACTTTGTTACCTGTACCCCTGTCCTGAATTTATATACTGTAATATTTTACATTATTCTAAGTATCATTTATTTAGAGAGTTTTGAGTGAATAAATGAACCTGACTTGTGACCTTTTCTGAAGATTTTTTTTAACTTACACTGAAAACTGATGGCTGCAACATAAGCAGTATGACCTGCAGCAACATACATTGCATGACCCAATCTGATGAATATGAAGAGCATAAACATGACAAGAATGTAACACTGTACTGCGACTTTTAAAAAATCATGAAAATGGTGGCCACATTTATTCTTTTCTAATTAAAGAAGTAATGAAACATTTGAAATTATAGTTCAATTTTGAATTTGTGGACAAAGATGCCTCCAGTAATCTTTTTACTTTAAGCCCTAGATCATTCTCACAAATTCCTTTGTAAGCTATATGGTGTCTCTTTTGTCCTTGGTGCCAGGTCCCTGAAATGCCTCTACTGTGTATGAGATATTGCGCCCTCTATTGAAAACATCTGGTATATATGATTACCTTTAAAAATGACATTGTAAATCATGATTTTAACACATAATCTTAATAAATCCATTATCCTTCTTGATTCATAAGTTTGACAATAACACTTACCATTGCAATGTTATCAATGTGTATTAAAATGTGATAAATGTATACCATTGAAATTTTGTAAAAACTTCAACCACATTTCCATCACTTTTTATGCCTGTTGAAATTCAAATGAAGTGATAAGGTCTAAGGTTTGGATGCAACACTCGTTGCATCACTAATTCTCATATTCACATGCTAAATCTAATTGCCTTACTTCAGAAATTGAAGAATCCAACTACGGATTGTAATTTTCAAAATAGTAACCTTTTTTCTGCAATATCTCCTTTACCATATTTATTAACATAGAGACTTTTGCCTGTAAAACTTGTATGACAATTATTTAGCAGCGTACTAGTATATTTCGAATCCTAATCATGTGATTCTTGTTGTAGGGCCTGCAGTTTTATCTTTAGCTAAGGGGACACCAATATCACTCAGTCCAGACTTTTTAGTTTACAATAAGCCATATACATTCTGTTTCTCTTTTTTCAGTAAAAATAAAGTCAACACCTAAGTAGTGATTACCTAGAGAGACATCTCGTTTACTTTTGGAGATATCTTTCTTAGTTAAAGAGATAAATCTTAAAGTAAAAGAGATATCTCTCTTAGTTCATCTTAAGAGATATATCTCAAAGTGAAAGAGATATCTCTCAAAAATGTCTAAAAGAGATATCTCTCAAGCCAAAAAAAGAAATCTTTTTATTGCAAAGAGATATCTCTCTTCATTATTTTATTTCAACTCCATTTGAAATGACTTCTTGCTTTACCGGAAGTAAGCTTTTAATATACGGAAGTACATTTAAGTATCTTTAAATGTTGATATTTTCATGATATTTTACATTATAGCTTTTCTAAACATGACAAGTAATTCAGTGTTTACAAGATTTAAATTAAGTAATAATTGATAATTTCATAAGCACAGAAAATGCATTCCATTGTATTTGAGATTTAATGCTTTCTTTCGGTTTCATAAATGTTAAACTTTTATTATTTGTTGTTAAATTCAAACAAGGGATTTATAGCACTTTTATCTACATAGTACATATATTATTCTTGGTATTGCATGCTCAGTGTGCTTTTCTTATAACAGCGAAATTGTTCCAGAGACTTTACTTCCTGTTTCGATTGTGTTTTAGGGGGAGAACTAATTATTTTATTTTAAGGATATTACGGGAAAGGATATTTCTTTCATTAAAAAGATATCTTTTTAGCTCTGAAAGATATCTCTTTTTGAACATCTAAAGAGATATCTCTTATTTTAAGAGATATCTCTCTAGCTTTAAGAGATATATTTCTAGCCTATAAAGATATCTCTCTAAGTAAAAGAGATATCTCTTTTACAAATAGATATATCTCTTTTGTTTATAAAGACATATCTCTAATTAATGTATGAAGATATCTCTATTAGTCAAATAGATACCTCTATATGCTAGAGAGATATCTCTCTTATTGAAAGAAAATTTATTTCACGAAGAAATAGTAAAAGAGCTTGTCATAATTACAGGACTTATCTTTCTTACCTCTAATTACAAAAAAAACGTGCGATCTTTTTCCACTTAGAGATAACGGACTGAAAACCTTGTCCTGAGACAGTTAAAATATAAAATAGTTTTTAAAGTAATTTTTAAACGTCTCTAATTTTTTTGTCCGTCAAGCAATATTCTTCACATTTTTATGGAGTAAATAAAAGAATAAATAAATTAATACAAAATGTTTTCACAATAAAAAAAATCTTTTTAACTAAAGTAAATATCAATTTAAAGTTTTTGCACTTGGAATTCATACATACATGTAAAATTTTATAATGCAAAGTCCGCAATCTTTTCTTAAAGGATGACTGCACTTAACACTGTGTTTTGGGTTGTTGTTTTTTTGATCGCTTCTGTTGCTTTTAAATCTTATTTCACTTTTATATATTTACTACGGTAGTATGTTAATTTGACACATAAGTTAAATGTAATTTTAGACTGTAATACAAATAATTAATTTCGTATTTTTTCTCTTTACAGTTTTCCAAATATAGAGAATTTACACTTTCCAGCCCTTGACTAAACATTTTGTATGAATTTAAGGTGGAGCAAACATCGTAAGAATGGATCTAAAATTAGACTGGATGAATAACAATGGCATGTATAAAAAAAAATTAAAAATCTCTATTGTCCATCTTGCTATTTCTTCTGTATGGCACAGGTACATGTACATTATTTAATTACAAAGGTTTAAAACGTATGAGCCCATTCATGTAAGTACAGAATATTTTAAATCGATGGCTAACTATTTAACGTGTTCGAGTACACTGTCCTAGTAATCACAAAACATGCTACCTATAAGTCACGTGACGGAATTAAGTATTCACAAAAGATATCACGTGGTGAATTATGATATTCAACGTGTCACAACCCTTGGTTACAACAGAATGAATGAGTGTTAAGAAAAAGCATTTTTTCCTCCGTTTAACCATGAGCGCATGTTTGTATCTCAATCTCTTTTTAACACAACATTACCTTTCCAAATATACAACTACTGTTAAAGATACTTGGACACAGATTTGAAGTTAATATTTTCTATAAAATATTACGACTTATATATTTGAATAGTATTTCACACAAAAATTAATCAAAAATCTTATTTCATTTAAAAGTTATTAAAACTTCAAATTTTTTGGCGGGTTTGATTGACACATCCTTGCACTTTCACAAATTTTAATTTTACTCTTAATACTCAGGAAAAGTGGCAATCTTGTTGTGTATAAATGAAAAATATTGAAACTATAATCCAAAAAATTCAGAGAAGACATGTTCCAAAGAAAAACAAACACACAATAAATTGTTAGTCCGTGCAGTTGTGGTGAGAAGACTTTGATGATTGAATGCATCCGGTGAATCGTAAACATCAACAGTAACAGAGCTCGTGTCCTATTTACAAAAGCTGTGTACATAAAGGCCGGTATACACGGTAAGAATTGTAATATAAGATTTGTTTTATAATACAAAATCTTACTGTGTATACACTCTTAATACAATGTATCATAAGGTTTTTCGAATCTTATAAAACTGTATTAAGAATAGAGAAATGCTCTTTTTCCTAATACAAGTCTTAACTTACCTATCAATTTTGAACAATGAAATCTAATGACACTAGGGGTCATCCTATTTTTATCATTACTAAAAAGCACATGATAAATAATAATGGTCGACGTTACAAGTAAAGACATCGAAAAACTCTTGGCTTAATGGGAAGAGGAAGAGGACTTCTGGAATATATCAAGCAGTGCATAAGTTCGATGAAAGACACTGCTATCAGAGCCTCATCCTCCATTTTTATTACTTTGACAGACGGTTGGAAAAGCACGTTGGAATAGTAGTTTATTTACAATCTTATAATTAAGACATGTATAAGTGTGAGTACAGGAAAGTATTATGATACAAAAATATTATAATACTTGTATTATACTACAAATCTCATCGTGTATACCGGTCTTAACACGAGTGTGATCGATTTGTTAAACTCTGTACACAACATTAAGCTCGGAATGACGATACTTGTGAAGGTGTTTTGCTTTCTTACATTTCTACATTGAATAAAATTATTTTTCTGGATTAAAGTTTTTTAATTTCTCATTAATACACAACAAGATTGCCACATTTCCTAAGGATTAAGAATGAAGTAAAAATTTGTGAAATTGCAAGGATGTATCAATCAAACCCGCCAAAAAAAATTTTTTTTTACTTTTTGATGAAATAAGATTTTTAATTAATTTTTGTGTGAATGCTATTAAAATAAATAATTCGTGATATTATAAAGAAATATTAACTTCAAATCTGTGTTCTGTACCTTTAATGGTGGCGAACTCGAAGTAGACATTGCGCAGCCCTTCAATCACGGCCAGCTTCTGCCGCAGTGTATCGAAAGGAACGCCGACCGGACGCATGCGCCATGCTTTGATCCGATATCGTCTGCAAGTTTAGCTCGTTTAGCATGACTGGAACAACCTCTCGGAATTCTCTAACTTTTCTGCCAACTGTACAACCACAGTGGAAGGCATTCTTCTTGTGGTACGTTTTCAGAATAATGGCGAATCTACCTATGTTCGGGTTTAAATAGAGTGTGAATGTCGGTGCCTTTTGAACGAGGCTTCGTCGGACAGGTGTTTTGAGATGCATTGCGGCGATCTTGTGACGCCGGCTATCGGCGAAATGCGGCGAAACAAAGATTTTTTTTTTAGTTTTCAACTATGTCAGCTTACACAGATAAATATATTTTCTATGGATAAGAAAGAGATAATTCTTGCTGAATTTTATGTAAGGTTCTCATTTTCTACTCAGATTAAAGACTTTTTTATCCTTGTGAAGAATAGAGTAGTAAAGTATAAAAAAGAGACAGTTTGAGTGATCATAAATTTCTTTTGCATAATATTCGTATTTTCTTTGCCTTTATAGTTGTATAATAAAATATTATTCTCACTGGAAATTTTGAATAAAGATTGAAGTTCTAAAATTCCCATTACTCTATAAAAAAAATTATTTTCTACTTTTTTTTGTTGTACCTAATTCCTCTCGGAAGAGTATATGTATTTGAAAAGTAATAGGATTTTAGTTAAATATTTAATCATGCATTTTATTGATAATTTAAAAAAAAATATTTATTGTAAATAAATCAACAAATATGGAAGACATATGAAAATTAGTATTTATTCAATAACATTAAAGGATATCAATATATTGCTTAATAAATGACAATAATACTGGACATGAAAATTTCCCTCTAAAAAGTTCTATCACATAAAAAGACTTTCTTTATGTTTCCTGTACTATCCCATCTTTTTAGCTTCTGATGCAAGGGTGATAGAGGGTCTCTTCAGAGGTCAAATTCGGAACAATTCTAGACTCATTCGCTTCAACAATATACGATGATCTTACTGGTAACGATTTGATTGGTTAAAAGAATTTGACTATAAATACGATTAGACAGTTCTAGTGATTTGCTGAATTTCGTTTTGTTGTAAAATGAATATGATAAATTTAGATATGTAAACAAAAACAAAGCAATAGCCTTGTTTACATTATAAAAGCCTTCGGCTCAGGTGAGCTACATAAAAAATAATTGAAGTGAAAGTATCAACATACTGTGCTTTATGTTCTGTGTGTATGTGGTTTGGGAGAGGTTATTGTCAAATTTATGTCATCCGCCTCTGTTGGGATGGAATAGCGGGGGGAGCCTGGGGCTGAAGCCTCGTGTCCTCAAAGGACCTGTTAGGGTACATGTATTCGTGATTTTCCCCCTCTTCAATGTTGATATTCTTTTTCGTCGTTGGTTGTCTGTCAGGTCTATCTACTGTAAAAAAATATATACATGTAACCGGTATTCAACTAAAAATAATCATACACCCGTTACCATGATAAAAATTATACTGCGAGAAATCAAGCTTCGTGGAAGAAAAACATTAATTCAGTAATAAATGTATGTCATGTTGTAAATTTTGAATTTAGCAGATGTCACTAAATTTATAAAAATAAAGTTGACTTGTCATGTAAATTTTTCCTGGTAAACTAAAAATTTACACCATCACAGATACATCGCAAATAAAAGCATATTTACCTGTCGTTCCGCGCTTTCGCCTTATCACACATACAATTATCAAAATAGCTATCGTCGCTACATCCAAAAGAGCTAGACTAGTTATCACTGCAATAACTGTAGTCGACAGGCCCGCTCCCTCCTCCAACGACGGTTGTAAAGAGAAGATAACATCTCTGGAGTTACAGGGGTACCTCTGTACCGCCATACGAAGCAAACTATCCACCGCCGGCATGTTCTGTTCGTACATTATCTTATTTATGGCCATGACGTCAGTAATGATTGTGACAGATATCCCAGAAGACTTCACCCGAGTATTCCGGAACTTCAGCCCTTCAATTTCGTCAGTGATCATCAGATAGTTTTGGATGTAGTTCTGGTCCACCACACATCCCCTCTGGTTTGGTTCAAAGTCTATCACTTTTCTGTAATTCGTTGAAGAGAAAGGCTTTTCAAGTTCTTGGAAAACTTTATCAAAATTGGACACGTTGTATTGTGTTGGGACAACTCGTAAATATGGGTACGTTTGAACTTGGTTTTCGCTGAGTCTTAAATCCCATTCCTCTGCGTCTGTGCTATGGGGTTCGGCCTCTACAAGAGCACTAGGACACCCCCTTATCAGCAAGCTATTTACGTTGTCTGCGAAGTCAGCTACGCCTTTCACATACACTTGGATTGCGGAGAGATACATTTGTGGAAACGTGATTTCCATATTATTAACATTTCCTGAGGTAGGTCTTCTGGTAATGTGTTGTAACGTCTGAAAGTCTGGACTGTTTCTATCGATGTATTCCACTGAATACTGGTTTGCCAGATAACTCCTTTTCGTTCTGATTGAAATTGTGGTTATCATGACATCGACGCCAAAAGACACAAAGTAACGGTTTTCAAAATTATTAAAGACGCCAAGTATGCCATTGTCGGGGAAAATGATGCCACTGCAGCCTAAAAGAAAAAAATCTCAATGTCTAATATAACTGCCTCGTAGAGAGTTCAAAAGTGATGGAACATGAAAGTTTGATGAAAGTTTTATGAACAATTCCTCCCACACTCTATACATTTGTATCACCTTACTCTCCGCTTATAAAATAATCTGCGTCTAACTATACAATGAATGTTGAATATTTTTTAAAATTAATAAATCTAACCTCTCTTGGCTTTGTGCGGCACTGGTCCCTTTTCTTTTATAGTGACCATTCCGTTTTTGTTGGACAGTAAGTGGGACACTGGTTGACCCCAGAATGATTTTCTGTCCACGGCTGACACGACCTCTATAAAGACGGTGTCTCGACGTCTCACCACGCTCCCCGCCGGGTGTGTTTTACTATGGAAGGAGAACAGTGCAGGGTAGATGTCAATTTCTAAAAGAAAGCACTTCAATATTTTTAAACGGTGTTTCATGTATGTATTTGGAAAAAACGAACAGTATTCGAGCTCAAAAGTCCATTAAACATTACAAAACAGGAGCAGAGCAAACACGGACCTCTAAAAAATCAGAGGTGGGATCAGATGCATAGTAATTAGAGGATATCTATATTGTATGATTTGATATTGAATTTATTCAACGAGTTGAAATGGAGTATATTCGCAAGTTTCTTAAGGAATCACTGTCTAGTTAGTATAGTATGTCAACACAATACATGCGCAAAACAAAAGAGGTACTCGTACGAGGGTGATCCAAAAGTAATGTCAATGTGTCCATATCTTTAATATTTGGCGTCATATTTGTATCATTATCAGTCCGTGGGTATATATGTCATGTAAATGTAGAACCACGTATTGAGTGTTAAATCTTATTTATTTCAGAACGAGACAACATGGTAACACAATAGATCGTACATGAGATTTTTCGTATTCGATTAACTCGTACTTTAATGCTGTACTGCAGAATATCAAATATGACTGGATGTGTTTCTAAGGTCTAATAATGCTAGGTATGGATTCTTCTGATCAGCATCACTCTTGTTTATCGAGCGTTTTATAATATTAATCACAACATTCTCGGCTTTGCTGTTGGATTGCGGATAATTTGGTGAAGATGTTCCGTGGTTGAATTCATATATTCTCGAGAATTCAGCAAATTCCTGACCATTAAATGGTGGTCCATTGTCTGAGGTTAGTTTGTCGGGTATCCCATGTCTTGCAAGGTGAGCTTTCAATTAGCTGATTATGGTACTACCAGTTCTACTGTATAGACGGTCAACCTCGAAGTAGTCGAAGTAGTAGTCTACTGTAATTAACTAGTCTTTGTTCTGGAACTCGAATAAATCACACGCAATGACTCGCCAAGGTCGAGTTGGAATTCTCTTACTAAACACTGGTTCCTTCACTTGATCATTTGCATACATGTTGCAAGCTTCACATTTACTTATAAACAGTACAATTTGTTTAGAAATATTTGGCCAGTAAAGGCTTCATTTAGCTCTTCGTAGGCATCCTTGAATTCCTATGAGAGAATTGTGGATCCTTTCAAGAAGGTGACTGCGTGTTTCTACAGGAACTACAATCCGTTCACCTTTTTAAATGAGTCCATTTTGAACAAGTTCCTCCCGAAATAGAAAGTATGTCGAAAATTCTGTATGAACTTCTACCCTCGTCTTATGCCATCCAGTCTTAATCACTCCTTTCAGCATATCCATAGTTTTATCTCTTTCTGATGCCTTTAATTCTGATTTCCGCAATGCACTGCTACGACACTGGTAGATACTCCTTATAGTCTACATTGTGTACTTCCATGGGGTCCTTTTCTTCTAGGTCCTCTGGCTGAGCTTTCAGATATGCTCTGGATAAACTATCAGCAAAGTAAATTTCAGTACCTCTTTTTTAGAGTACTTCATAGTCAAATTTCTCAAGTCTCAGCAACATTCTTTGTAGTCTCTTTGGTGCACGGTGTAGATTGTTCTTGTGTATTATCTCAACTGGCTTATGATCATATTCTACTAGAACGTATCTACCATAAGTATAATTCTCAAATTTTCCATTCCCGAGAAAACTGCGAGTAACTTTTCAATCTGAGCATAGTTGCATTCAGTTTCTGTTAGTGATCTTGATGCATACATAATTGGGTGTCCCTCTTAAAGTAGGCAAGCTCCAAGGTCCGATTTGGATGCATCACACTGCAAAACTAGCTCCTTGTGCTCATCAAACAATCTAAACACTGGAGTGTTCTATAAAACAGTTTTCAAATGCTTGAATACCATGGATATCTTCACTCTATCTAAAATGTGTGTCAGATTTCAGAAGGCTTCTTAAAGGTGCTGTAGTTTTAGAAAGCTGTGGCACAAATCGTTGAACAAAGTCTGTCATCCCTAGAAGTCTCTGCACTCCCTGTCTGTCCCGGGGAGTTGGCATCTCTCGTATTACTTTCACTTTCTGCGGATCTATGCACAGGTCAATTTTTGAATTGAAAAATCCTAAGTAAGAGAGAAAGACCAGTTCAGTTTCATTTTCTCCTTGTTCAGTTTAATGTTTCTCTCTGAACATCTCTGCAGCAAGGCTTCCATCTTGCAGTCGTGGTCGTTTTGAGCTTCCTCGTTATTGTCTCCACATTCATAGATCAAGATGTCATCATGAATAGGTTTGATTCCGTCAAGTCATTCTAACGCCTCTTCCATGCGTCTTTGGAACTCCTCGGGAGCAGGTGATATCACGTCATGTAATATTATTTGCACTTAACTTTAGAGAAACATGTACCACACTATAAGGTGCACGTGCTTGCGGGGAAATAGTAATTTCTATGACGTGAACAGTAAGTGTATGTTGCATTACAGTTCAGTAAGTTGTAAAGAGTTAAGAGCCTGATTCAGTGGTCTTGGATCAATACATAACCGAAACCGTCCATTTGATTTAGGTGCAAAAACAAGACTCGAGATCCAGTCAGTAGGAGTATTCACATCTTTAATGATCTTTAACTGTTCTAGTCTATCTAGCTCTTGTTTTAGATTGCCTTTGATAGCGATTGGCACTTAAACCTGGATAACAAATAATATTTTGAAAAGTATAATTCATAAATTTTTTCTGGACTAATTTGTTATAAATTCAGCTTCACTACAGCTTCACTCATTTTAAATTTTGTTGATTTACGTGGACTAGTAGCAATTTTATTGAAGTTGTGACATGACTCTAGGATCAACCCTCGTATAAGTAACATGTAAAACATGCGTACAGACAAACATGCCGCACATAGGGTTTAATCCCCTAGTGCTGCACTGCTTGACAAGTAAGAAAAAAATGCGAAATACATGTATAGGTTGAAATTCTGACAAAGATGAACATGCAATTTAAAAAGGCATACCAACTGGTTTCCTTTCTGCTGTTCCCATATCAAACCTATATTCGTATCCGATTGAACTTAAACCAGTTGCAATGTGTCTCAGAATGTCACGACCCTGTCCTATTAGTATTTGAATCCCTTTGATTGGTTCAGTTCCTCTGCCCTTTAAGTTGAAATAAAAATTGTCTGATCATTTAACTATAACAGCTCCTTTTTATAGCAATAAAGCAGTTCATGCAGTTCATGCATGACTATAAGTATACGTCAAGGTAATTCAGAGAATCTTTGTCCCCGCTTAAAGAAAAGAAAAGCATACGCAAATAGATGGGTAGGGATGGGTAAGGGTCTATTTTATTTAACATTCCGTCTCCCGCCTGCCCTTCTTAAAGTCCCATGCACCTTCGACACCCTCCTAGAAATGCACATGCTTTTCATTTTTCTTTAAAGCTATATTTATGGCTTATCCGAGCTGTGTAAGCCAATAACGACTCTTTTGTCGATTTCCAAAGTTTAATAAATTAATCCAATTTACAATTTTCCGTGATCGTATAGTTTTCGAATTTGAAAAGTGATTCGTATAGACCAATGCACAATAATGTTCACTAGATCCGTCCCAGAATGTAAAGAGTTTTAAGACTGAACTCCAACTAGCAAAATTTATCAAAAGTCCGAAATAATGATTCCCAGAATAATATTTGAGAATAAAACCGGGAATAGGAATAAAAGCGGGAATGCTCTTTTCTGACTAAAACAGGGTATTTTGTGCTCAGTGGGAATATCCATGGTCCCGGATATAAAAATACATTTCATCGGCTAATTCACCATCACCAACCACCTACGCTTTGTCCGTAGGTCTGTCTGTTGACCTATGAACCCCAACATGGCACCACCCTCTAATGTAGGTAAATGCATGTTACTAATATTTATGGGCTCAGTCCCCAATTATGCACCACAGGAGTTCTAGCCTTAAGCTCTTTTACTTATTTACTTCAAAGTTCCCAATTTTATTGCTCTTAGTCAAAACTCTTAATAATACCATTGTATTTCCGTTCAAATTTTATTACTTACTATCGATAGGCTTGATTTGTCTATTCGGATCAATTTCATTACAAAATGATCTACCAAATTATAGTGCATTTGAACAACAACAAAATCCAATTTGTTTTGACAAGATAATAATTGTTTATAAAATTAAGGTCCTTTTTCCAATTATAAAGTCACCGAATCTGCGTCACTAATAATATACATTCTGATTTAATAAATCTTTATCTCGTTTTATTTTAACTGCTAAAAACTAAAAATGATTATGTTATTAATATTGTCTAAGTTTAAAATGTTCACACAATATGTCTGTGCTAAACCCTATAGGTTTACAGCTGAAACGTAAAAATACGAGATCAAGTCAAATAAATGTAACTGAACTAACACCTATATTCTGCGCAGTCATTATTTTTAAGGATAGCACCCAATGTTAACCATGCTAAGGTGTCACACATTATACATCTATTGACTGAGATCGAGGGCAACATGCGTTTTGTCGGATCCATGGCAGAACCAAACTGTATGCTTGAGGCCGTTAGGCCGACAAAACGCATGTTGTCCGAGAAGATAGTCAATCAATGTTTTGTTATATCTTTTATAATACATGTACTTTGTACTGTCTTTCAATTCGTCATGTAACCTCACGTCCGACACTTTTGAAGAAATGTATGGAGATAATGAACAGTATTCAATATCAAAATCCATAAACAATACAAAATAAAAGCAGAACAAACACGGACCTCCGAAACATCAGTGGCGGGATCAGGTGCCATGGAGGAGTGAGCATCCCCTGCTGACCGGTCACACCCGCCGTGTGCTCCTAGTTATGATCGGGAAATAACGGGAAAATCTGCCGTCAATTCAATGTATAACTAATGGACTAACAATTAGTATGATAAACGTCAGTCAGCATTTGACTCAATGACAAATTGTATTTGTCAACAAGGTCATTGTATCGATTATAAAATTTACAAAATGATTACTTTAAACAAGACTTTTGATATTCTTGTTTCATCAACTTGCTATTCAATAATTTACCTCGCTTTTTTTTAATACTTTTATCTTTTTTTAACATTCCTAATTTTTTTCTTGATCGATCTAAAGGCCTGTAGATATAACAAATAAGTTAATCGAAATGAAAAGTACACACCATTAACCTGACACGCTGAAGTTGACCAATATCTTTGTCGGCAAAGGCTCCATGATACCAGGAAGTCCGACCATAGTATCCACCTTTACATAGATTGTCCATTTCAAACTTAGCAGTCCCTGCTGTCCCCTCCAGATTCACTTGATATTGTGGAGGATTGTCTCTTCCAGAACAGTTTATCTGCAAACTTATCACATACGACCGATCTAAATTTGAGGACGAAAAAAATATAAACAAATTTTTAAAAAACTATCATTTAACTTTTAACTTAACATTTCTGATAGATAAAAAAAATATTGTTATACCCTTATAAATAGCTTTCTATATATTTATTACTAATAAAAAGTCCAACAAAAGAAATGTTTATTACATCGGTCTAACAATTTCACTGTTGAATAGCTACCGGTCCAACATAAGAATTGTTAGACAGCAACGTCACTGATACGTCACAGGTAATTAAGTAAGTAATTAACAAGTAATTAATTAACGACAATATCGGCGACACGGAAATAGCCCATGTTAAGGGCTACAAGAGATGTTGCTACCAGCAAGGTAAGGGAGAAGCGAAGGATATGTTTTGTGATAATATAGTGAGTACTGATTAAATCTTTTAAAGTGAGCACTGAAGGGTATAACAAAACAGTTATAGACTGGGATTCGGGCAACATGTGAATTGTTGGACCCGAAGGTGAAAATGTTGCCCTTGGCCTGCTGCCTCTTTAAGTCCTTTAAGTACTCAGGTCCTCTAGAGAATGAGTAAATATACCGGTATGTGAAATATAAATGTCCTGGTATCTACTGTTCAAAAGATAAGGCCAAAGTAAAAGTTTGGAATTTTTGTCTAAAAGTGGGTCAAACTCGAAGGTCAAGGACAAAAGGTCAAATTTAGTGGTATTCAAACAAAGTTCTTGTCACAAGAGATACACATGTGAATGTGAAATTCATAGCTCCACTAAATCAAAAGTTATGGGCAAGGTAATTGCGGCCAAACAGACAGACAGACAGACTGGCGGACACAACAAATACTATATTCCCCGAAACTTTGTTTACGGGGGCATAAAAATGCAAGTCAATACATAATTTACAAACAGAAAATGCATATTTAAAACAAGTGATATCCGCAAAATCTCTAAGACCACAAAAGAAGTACTACATGTCGGCCACTAGTTTCAAGTGTGCAATCGGGTGTAACGAAGTCGAAGGGTTTATATACTCTGACGGTGACTATTTATGGGAATAGTTCAGACGTAAAAATTACAAGAGACTCATTGGCAACATCGCTCGCTTGACCACTGTGGCTAAGAAAGAAGCAGACATCAGTATTACTGAAAAGTTTAAACCCAAAAGTGGTCCCATCCAATCCTTAAAGGGAAGAAAGTATGACTTGAACAAACTAGAATCTACACTAAGGATGCTTGCATATTTGTTTGACTACCTTTGGCTTTATTTTCCTTTACATTTGAACTTAAATTCTGCCCCCTCCCTAACCTCTAATCCACCCTGCCCGACTAAAATATGACCAATCATGGCTTTGCTGTCCTTGAAGTATTTTACCTACATTGTATATATTCCTATGTTACACTTTGATCTGCCATTGGGGCCCTACCCTACCCCCAGGGGTCATGATTTGAACAAACCTGAATCTCCACTATCTGAGGATGTTTCCAAGTAAATAGGATCTATATGCTGTAATTGTATTACATTAGGCGTGTATGCTATTTGGCGGAAATTCAATTTTCAACATGTTAGCGTAGGTTTAATTTAGCGCTATCTGAATGTGCTAGTTGAAAATGTACATTGTATGATATTCAAGACATTTAGCGATGTACTTGAATTAGCAGACTCTGATTTCCGTCAAAATCGCTAAATAGAATAAACCGCTAAATTTAATACTTTTACAATATTTCATTGTAAAACTTTGACCGGCCATTGAAGCCCCCTACCCCCAGGGGTTATAAATGGAACAAATTTGAATCTCCACTACCTGAGAATGCTTCCAAATAAATTCAATAATGCCTTTGCTATTCTTGAGAAGAAGACCATTGGCCATAATAATAATAATAATAATAATAATAATAATAATAATAGCCTTTATTTATCCAGGATAACAGAATTAGCATAAAGCTAGTTTTCATTGTGGTCCGGCATTAAAACATATTTACAATCACATATGGATATTCAAAATTAACATCTTAATATAAGATATAAAAGTTCAACACATACATATATAAACATGAAGAACATATATTTTATACACTCAAACATTGGGGGAAAATCCATTTTAAAAATTGAGTCTGTTAAAATACTCAGCGAGATACACAGATTTAAAACTATCCACTGACCTAGAATTTCGAACATTTTGTGACAGTTTGTTCCATAAAAATGCAGATGAATATCTAAATGAACGTTTGTAATTTTCTGTTTTAGCTCGTGGTAAATACAATTTGTTTGACATAAAATCATTTGACCTGATTTAGCGACAATTGACATCTCTTGTATATTGAAACATTCAAATAATCTGGCATTTGATTGTTTAAAACCTTAAATAGAAAAATGACCTGTCTAAACATAAAATAATCTTTGATTGGCATCCAGTTTAAAATAATAAAAAGGTAGTAGGAGTTAAAATATTTCGAATGTTTAAGAGTATCTTAGCTGCCCTCTTTTGAAGTTTGAATAACTTTTCTAAAAAAATTTTGATTTTTCACATTGCACCAAACAGTGGAACAGTAAGTAAAATGCGGAAATACGATACTAATGAAAACTTTAATTAAAGCATTTTGTGGCATAAAATGATTCACTCTCTTAAGCACAGCAAGTTTTCTTAAAATTTTCTTTGAAATAAAAACAACATGAACGTCCCAAAATAAGGTATTATCAATATAAAAACCAAGTAATTTGGCCTGCTTCACAAATTCAATTTGAACATCATTAAAATTTATGCTAAGATTTCTACATTTTTGCAAGCTTTTGGATGTGCAATTAAGCATGCAATGCGTTTTTTTTAGATATATACTGAGCTTATTTTTTATCATCCATTGAACTCTAGATCTTCTTGAAGTTTTTACTCAATAACGTCGATACATTTATCGCTTACATCCTGCGAGGTGTCGTCTGCGTAAATTGTAACTGACGAGTTTTTAAGACATTTTGAGTAGTCATTAATATATAAAATAAAAAATAACGGTCCTAAAATTGACCCTTGAGGGACACCTAAAGATATATCTTTTTCTTGAGACAGAGCACCTCGCCAACTGACACATTGCTTACGATTTAAAAGATAAGATTGAAAAAAATTAAAAGTATTTTCACAGATTCCAAATGACCTCAGCTTGTGTAAAAGAACTTTATGATTGACTGTATCAAAGGCCTTACGCAGGTCAATAAACAGAACTCCTGTAAGTTCACCGTCCTCCATGTTTTTAAACCATTTATTTATTAGATTGTCTAGTGCTGTTTCACATGAGTAACCTGGCCGAAAACCTTATTGACTCTCAGTTAATTATTAGTTTGTTCTTTGATAAATATTCTTAAAAAGAATTAAAAACATGACGCTCAATAATTTTGCTAATGACTGGCAAAATAGATACGGGTCTGTAATTATTAACTAGATTTTCATCACCCGCTTTGTGCAATGGAACTACTCTTGCTCTTTCCATGCATCAACAAATGTACACGATGATACTGATTCATTAAAAATAAAATGTAATATATCACCTATATGATTAAAAGACATCTTTAAAAGTTTTACAGACAAACCATCAATACCCGTGGCTTTCAAAGATGACATTTTAACAATTTTATTTGCAATAAATTCATGCGATATCTGGAATTCTAAATGAACCTGGCGGTTTAAGTTGTTCTAAGAAGAATCAAACTGTTTCACTCTTTCATATCCAATTGCTACAGAAAAAATCATTGAAATAGTTAGCCATAGATTCAAAAGATGTTAAAGTTCCACTCTCCGTTTGTAATTGTGTACATGTTGAAGAATTTTGCTTTGATGGTAGAAATTGTTTTAATCTAGACCACATATCTTTTGGTCGATTGGTACATTGATCAATTGCTTCTTCTACAAAGTCCAGTTTCGCCTCTCTGATCTTGAGAGTAACACAATTTCGGCTGGTGTTATAAAGATCCCAGTTCTCCGCTGATTTCGTTTGTAGTGCTTTTTCGTGTAGATAATCGCGGTTGTGCATTTCAGTTAAAATTTCATCATTTATCCATTCCTCTGACTTAACATTCATCCGCCGTTGTTTAAAAGGTAAATGCTTGTCAATGACTTTGAAAAATTGTGCATTAAAAAAATCCAACATTTGATTTACGTCACCACACTTCTTAATTTCATTCCAATCAACCTCACCGAGATCTTTATGAAATTGGTCTCCATCTTAATCCCGAAAACTACGAAATTTTATGTTAACATGACTGTTTGTGCCGCTCTTTATTTTCCTCGGACAGCATAAATTAAATGATGATTGCTTATACCCATATGTATTACGCCAGATTTGCATATATCCTTAGGTTTGGACACATATATATGATCAATGAGGGTGCTGGAGTCTTTTGTTACTCTAGTGGCCTCTTTAATTATTTGAGACAGTCCCTGAGTTTTCATAATATTTTTAAGATTTGAGTTTTTATTTTCATCTACATTAAAATCACCCATGACTATAACGTTCTTATTATTGTGGCCCCGCTCTACGCCCTGGGGGTCATGATTTGAAGAAACTTGAATTTAACCTACCTTAGGATGCTTCCTTATAAGTTTTATCTTTCCTCGCAAAGTGGTTCTTTAGAAGAAGATTTTTAAAATATACCACCAAACTTTTACCATTTCTGAATTATCTCCTCTTGAATAAGGGCGTGGCCCCTCATTTCAACAAACTTGAATCCCCTTCACCTACATGTAAGGATATTTTGTGACAAGTTTGGTTGAAATTGGCCAGGTAGTTCTTGAAAAGAAGTCGAAAATTTGAGAAGTTAACGACGACGAAAACGACAGACAACGGACAAATTTTGAATAGAAAAGCTCACTTGAGCCTTCGGCTCAGGTGAGCTAATAAATTTGGTTTTAGCTCTACTGGTCAGAGACCACAAGAGCTTATGCGATAGTACGTAATACGTCCGGCGTCCGTCCGTCTGTTTAGTTGTCTGTCTGTAAACATTTTTTAATGCTACTCCTCCTACAGTTTTGGTCTGATTT